ATCCTCCTTTAGTCTGTCCTGCATGCTATTGCCAATGTGTATTTCAGAAGTGTAGTTCTGACCTTTTTCTCTGTCTTTGTACCTTCCCTCTGTACCTTGTCAATGACGTCCCATGACCCCATAGCAGTGTTTCTCATCCTGAATTCCATGGGCCAGTAACAGCTCTGTGAACTACCTAAACTGCCATTTTGTGTGTAGGTACTATGTGTGCATTTTTTCTGGAGAGAGAATAAAATTCTCAAGGGGTTCCATGATCTAATTCAGCAGCTAGGTTAATAAGACAAAATCCTGTATTCTAAAGCCGTTTCTTATTTGCCCTCACCTTTCTTTTTTAGCTTTTGTCTTTCTTGGTTATTCATTACTGCATCATATGCCTTAGCTGTGTTGAATTATTCCCACCATATCCTTTCCATTCTTGAGAAACAGAATAACTTAGTTGTTAAACATGAAGGCTTGGAGCCAGACTGCCTGGGTACCAGGCTCTTTCCTTTACTAACTGTATGAGTTTGGCAAGAAAGTGTACCTCAGTTTTCTCATTTGTTAGAAAGAGAAAGGGGTAGTGATGATACTATTAAACACCTTATTAGATTGGGAGTCAATAAATAAATAAATAAATAGATTGGTCAATATTGTATTAACCAATAAATAGGTACAACAGTCAACAAATAAAACAATCAATGTTAAGCCCTTTTTTTTTTTTTCTTTTCTGTTTTGGTCACACCGTGCAGCTTGTGGAATCTTAGTTCCTTGACCAGGGATTGAACCTGCAGTCTCAGCAGTGAAAGTCCCAGAGTCCTAACCACTAGTTGTAAAAGTTGCTCAGTCGTGTCTGACTCTTTTTGACCCCATGGATTTAGTTCATGAAATTCTCCAGGTCAGAATACTGGAGTGGGTATCCTTTCCCTTCTCCAGGGGATCTTCCCAACCCAGGAATCGAACCCAGGTCTCCCACATTGTGGGCAGATTCTTTACCAACTGAGCCATAAGGGAAGCCCCCTAACCACTAGACCTCCAGGGAATTCCCTAAATGCTAGTTTTTAATTATCATCATCGTCATAATCATCATCATTCCCTCACCTCCACACTGTCACCCCCGTTCTAACCCATACTCTTTGCCAGCTAGTGGACTTTTTCTCTTAGAAAACTTAGACCAAGTGTTAGTTACTCTGAAGTCTTTCCTGTTTACTTGTCTCTCTCTCTTTTTTTTTATCTAGTATTAATAGAATGGGCTTCCTAGTCTTATTCATGGTGTTTATATCCTGTGCATTTGTTTTGGATATATAATGTGAGGTAGGAAAAGTTTTCCCCAGGTGATAACCATTTGTCCTAGTACCATTCATTGAGGTGTCCATTCATTCCCACTGATTTATGATGCCATTTTGGTCCTATACATCTCTATTCTTTTGTGTTGCTTCATCCCTCAAGAACTATGTTATAGTAATAATTGTGGCTTTAACAGTAGGTTTTAATATAACATCAGCTAGGGAAAGTTCTTCTTGTTGTACCTAGTACCATTCATTGAGGAGTCCATTCATTCCCACTGATAAATAATGCCATTTTGGTCCTATACATCTCTATTCTTTTGTGTTGCTTCATTTGTTCCTCAAGAACATGTTACAGTAATTATTGTGGCTTTAACAGTAGGTTTTAATATCACATCAGCTAGGGAAAGTTCTTGTTGTACTTATTAAATTGTTTCTCTTATTTTTAGCTCTTTGCTATTCCACATGAATTTTAGGATCAGACTTTTGGGCTTCCCCAAAATTCCTGTAGAGGTTTTAATTGGCAGCATTGTTTGAATTTACTGAAATCATATATTAATTTGGAGAGAATTGGCATCATGTGATACTTATTTTTCCCACCATTTCCCATCTGTTTGTCTCTCCATTAAAAAAAAATGCACTAAAAGAGGTCCATGTAGAGCACACGTGAGTATGTTCTAGTATATCCTTTCCTGGCTTCCCGGGTGGTGCTAGTGGTAAAGAACCTGCCTGCCAATGCAGAAGACTCAAGAGACATGGGTTCAATCCCTGTGTTGGGAAGATCCCCTGGAGAAGGAAATGTCAACCCACTCCAGTATTCTTTCCTGGAGAATCCCATGGACAGAGGAGCCTGGTGGGCTGCAGTCCTTGAGGGGTGGGAAAGAGTCAGACACGACTGAACACACGTAGACACACACACACACACACACCTTTTCCTAGTAGTAGTGACAGTGAAAGTGTTTGTTAGGAAAGCCTTTAGTTTTTGTTGCTGTACAAATAGATCTTTTTTTTTTCTTGTTTTGTAATCTAAGTGGTTATTACTAGTGAGTAGGAATATTGAGGATTTTTATGTAATTTTGTATTTAGAAACCTTGGTGACTAGTTCTAATAGTTCTAAATAATTTTCCTATGTATTCTTTTGGATTTATTACATAGAAACTTATTTGGTTTGTTAGTGCAATTTTGTTTCTTACTGCTTTATTTCATACTTGATTTATTGCATTAAATAAGATCTCTATCAGTATTAAATAACAGGTACCTTTTAAAAATTCTTGATTTAGTGAGAATGTGTCTAAAATTTTATTATTAAGTATAGTTGTTTACTACAGTTTTTTAACATAGATATTCTTCATCTGTTCTGTGATTCTGTCATCCTGAATTTTAAGATTTCTCCATAGACTAGTTCTTACTCAAATTAGAATCTTTTATGTGGTTATAAAAGTATGTATGTCTGGCTCCATTCCCAGATAGTCTGCTATCTAAAGTTTTGGCATTTATATTTTTAAAAGCATTGTGGGTGATCAGAGGGTTTTTTGTTTTTGTTTCTATTTATGGAGGTTGAATTTTATTGAATGGTTTTTCTGTATCAGATAAAATGATCATTTTTTAAAAATTGATAATATGGTTGCCAGTAATAGATATTCTATTGTTGAGCTCATTCATATGTTTCTAGAATATACGAGTATGCTACCAGTAGTAGTGTAGGCATGATACAGGATAGTCAGGAAGAGCTAGAATGATGAAAACTAAATAATAATGGAAAGTAGAGAACTGTAAGAGGAGGTGGAGGGGAAAAGCATTTTAAAAGGGCATTAACTTTGATTTTAAAATGCTTTAAATTGGAAGTTTTGTGACTGTGTATCCTACCAGTGGAAAAAATTGAGACTATACTCCCAGTATATGTGTGTTTATTTTAAGACTAAGCATGTATTTTATAGTACTGATTGATACTTTATTTTATAAAACATGTAACAGTTAAGATGAAAAAGTTAATTTAAAGAGAAGTTTGCACAGCAGAAACCAACACAAAACTTTTAAGCAATTTTCAACCAATTAATAAGTTTGCTTTATTTAATGGTATAAAATATTTTCATTCTTAAAGTTTTAATAGTGTTTTTACTGAAAACAGTATTGCTGACTATGATTTCTAAAATTTCTTAAAATCTTGATTTAGTACAGTGACAATAATTTAAAAGATTTGATTTAGATCCAAATCTTTAGATTATTGATACTTGGTCTTGATGACTATCATGGCTGAAAAAGATACCTACAACACACAAAATAATAGATCCAAATGGAAGAAATATGTCATAGGTTGAGATTCCTATATTTTTCAATCCTGTTTGATAAATACCAGAAAGGCTTTTGTTGAAATTTTTATCTTTTGACAAAAACCACTGCAATGATGTAAAGTAGTTAGCCTCCAACTAATAAAAATGAAAAAAAAAAAAGAAATTTTTATCTTCTTTGATGTTACAGTTATTCTTACAAACCATTTGCAAGTTTTTATAATGTTTTATAAGGGCATGTTCAAAACCAAATGATTATATTTATTTGGAAGATTTGAAAATAGTTTAAAAATCTGTTACCAAGTATAGATATGAGACTTAAAAAGAACAGGTGACATCCTGTTTTTGGTAAAGTCATAACATCCTTTTAATAAATGTAATCTCCATAGTGTAAATTTATTTTAAAAGCAGTTTTTAGTTTCCACCTTTACCTGCAGAAACAGATTAATAACTGCTAAAAAGATACAAAATAATGGTTAATAGTCTTCTATGTGAGTATGAAATCAGGGACGCTTCCTTGCAGAGAATATGTGTGGAGACACAACAATAGTATTTTCCCAGAAGGGAAATGACTGTCATTGGAGAACATCTGTTAGGTAGACGATACAGTGTTGCTTGTCATTCTATTAAAAGAAAAATGAATAATCAGTTTTCTAAGCTTTACAACTCTTTAACTCTGGTACTCAGATGTAAGCAAAGCTCTTGTGTGGTACAGTTTTTTGGTCCATTGCCTATCTCATTTTTATTTTAATGTTTCTGCTATTGAAAGGTCTTGCTTTTATAAAATTGACTACATTGATAAAATTCTGTAATGCATAGCTGACAATCCCCATAGCATGCCCACCTTTCTTGGGATTTCTCGAATACTGCAAGTGACACATGACACTGGCATGGGGTCCGAATGAGGACATCAAGTTGTTTTGTATGTTAAATGTCAAAAAGCCTTGTTCCTTTTTGGAAAATATAAACATAGTGAACATTCAAATATTTTCTTAACCTCCATTTTGGATGCTGCAACTTTAAGCTATGTCCTAGTTACAAGCCAGAAAGTTCACAAATTCTTGATCCTGCCCCAGCATTCAAAAACTTACTAGTCCAGGTAGAGGTAGAGAGTCTCTTAATTTGAAAGTCTAAAGGACCTGGGGAAATATTCATGCTGTGGATTTAAGATAATTCTGCAGAATTCTGTATTCTTTATACTTTTGTAACTATGTCTAAGTTAATTTTTAGAGGATATGATAAGGACATCATAAGCAGTCTTCTTACCAGAATTTATTTAAAAAATAATGCCAGAATTATGTCATAGTTCAGAACTATTTGAAGTTCAGGCTTTTCAAACAAATTCAGACTAGTTGTCTTCATTAGCAGGTAATGAATCTGTATCGTGCTTTATTACTTGAGGTATTAACTTCTTTTTCCCTCCCTCCACCCCCTACCAATGATTCTTAAGTAATAGGAGTGAAACATCTGCATCTGATAACACAGAAACTTACCAAGAGAATACAAGGTAAGCTTTGGAAATTTCTATTACTTTAGTAAATAATACCCATCATTTTGTAATGATGAATTTTTATTTTTTATTTTTATTTTAATTTAAAAAATTAATTAGAGGCTATTTACTTTATAATATTGTGGTGGTTTTTGCCATACATTCACATGAATCAGCCACGGGTGTACATGTGTCCCCCATCCTGAACCCCCCTTCTACCTCTCTCCCCATTCCATCCCTCAGGGTCATCCCAGTGCACCAGCCCTGAGCACCCTGTCTCATGCATCCAACCTGAACTGATGATCTATTTCACATATGATAATATACATGTTTCAGTGCTATTCTCTCAAATCATCCCACCCTTGCCTTCTCCCACAGAGTCCAAAAATCTGCTGTTTACATCTGTGTCTCTTTTACTATCTTGCATATAGGGTCATCATTACCATCTTTCTAAATTCTATATATATGTGTTAATATACTGTATTGGTGTTTTTCTTTCTGACTTACTTTGCTCTGTATAATAGGCTCCAGTTTCATTCACCTCATTAGAACTGATTCAAATGCATTCTTTTTAATAGCTGAGCAATATTCCATTGTTTATATGTACCACAGCTTTCTTATCCATTTGTCTTGAAAGCATTTCCCCTAAAGTCAGGAACAAGACAAGGATGCCCATTCTCACCACTACTGTTCAACATAGTTTTGGAAGTTTTAGCCACAGCAATCAGAGCAGAAAAATAAGTAAAAGNTACAATGGAAAGAAGACAGTCTCTTTAACAAGTGGTGCTGGGAAAACTGGTCAACCACTTGTAAAAGAATGAAACTGGAATACTTTCTAACACCATACACAAAAATAAACTCAAAATGGATTAAAGATCTAAATGTAAGACCAGAAACCATAAAACTCCTAAAGGAAAACATAGGCAAAACACTCTCTGACATAAACCATAGCAGGATCCTCTATGACCCACCTCCCAGAGTAATGGAAATAAAAGCAAAAATAAACAAATGGGACCTAATTAAACTTAAAAGCTTTTGCACAATGAAGGAAACTATAAGCAAGGTGAAAAGACAGCCTTCAGAGTGGGAGAAAGTAATAGCAAATGAAGCAGCTGACAAAGAATTAATCTAAAAAAATGTAGAAGCAACTCCTCCTGCAGCTCAATTCCAGAAAAATAAACGACCCAATCAAAAAGTGGGCCAAAGAACTAAACAGACATTTCTCCAATGATGAGTTTTTAAATTAAAATTTTTAAATTCAGTTAAGTCATCAGACAATGCTGGAAGTTAGCAGTTTAGAAAGGAATCAGTTGGTTTACGGATCACATTAAATTAGAAGTAGTTAGCTTTTCTGTGTCACTGTGGTCAAGTTTCATCCATGCATAATTTATGCAAGGTTGTCAGTATTGAACTGTCCCTTGCTGAAATTGAGGGATTAAAAGCCAGTGATGTATGATCCTCAAAATATTTTGAAATGTTGATCATTTTGATAATTGATGTTTTCATTTTTCTGTGAATTTTGTGTGTGTACTCTTAGAAACTAGGATAAATTACAGTTATATACCATATTTATGGAAGTCTTTTAAAAATTTTAATTTCCTAGATACGGTGTTTCCACACTGGGATACAATGGAATATTTAAAATTTTCAAGAGATATACAGTGGTATCTATTGGTTACATTAATGACTGAATTAAGTTGTTTAAATTTGCTTAATAAATGGGACAACTGGGTTTGTTTTTCTTTTTGTTAAGGCCTATTTTAGAGGCACCATGAAAAAGTTTTTCCTAGACAATAAGAGAACTGTAAACTAAGATTGTCTGGGAATATCTCTTGTAGATTATTTATTGAAAACATAGTTTTCAAAAAATGAGAGAATCTTTGATTAGTTTGATAATTGTAACTTTTAAAGAAAGAAATAGTAATTGATCAAAAAATAGGAGTGCATCATTCTTACATTACAATTTCAAATTCAGTATGCTTCATTTAAAATTGTTTTATAGTTCTTCTGGGCATCCTACCTTTAAGTGTCCCTTGTGTCAAGAATCAAATTTTACCAGACAGCGTTTACTGGATCATTGTAACAGTAATCACCTATTTCAGATAGTTCCTGTGGTAAGTATGTATGTTTACGACAGTTCTGTTTAAGGTATGCTGTTCTATTTATTTCCCTTCATCTGTACACGGGACAGTGGTTAATTTAGATTTGGATGGGGCATTATCAGTAAGGTATGTTTTGTCATCAAAGATTGATAACTGTGAAGCAAAATGAGATACTTAAAATTCTAGTAACTAGGAACTTCCCTGGCAGTCCAGTGTTTAAGACTCGCCTTCCAGTGCAAGGGGGTAGGGGTTCCATACCTGGTCTGGGATCGCTGAGATCCCACATACCTTGTGGCCAAGAAATCAAAACATAAAACAGAAGCATACTGTAATAAATTCAGTAAAGACTTTAAAAATTGTCCACATCAAAACAACAAAAAAAATCTTATTAAAAAAAAAAATCCCAGTAACTATGAGAAGAGAGAGGCTTATTGTGAGGGTAAAGTAAGAGCAGAGCTTGGAAAAGAGCAGAGTGAGGAAAGGTGCACTGAGGACTCGTTACTGAGGGGAGCTTTGTAAACAGTGTCTTTGCTGAATGCTGGCGCTAGTGGTGAAGAACCCACCTGCCAGTGCGGGAGATGGTAGAGACGTGGGCTTGATCTCTGGGTCAGGAAGATCCCCTGGAGAAGGAAATGGCAACCCACTCCAGTAATCTTGCCTCAAGAATCCCATGGGCAGAGGAGCCTGGCGGGTTACAGTCCGTAGGGTTGCAGTCAGACATTACTGAAGTGACTTCGCACATAAGCACACACAGAATGTGGTACGTTCTACATGAGAACATAAAGCAAAGAAGGAAAAGAATCATACTTTCTTTCTGATGGATTCATATCTTTTTGATGCCCTTTTGAGGATGTATGGGAAGTGGTGGGACCTTTCTGATGATGGAAGGAGGTAGAGGGGAGTGCAGGATTCCACCATTGTGTTCATGGGCCTCCCGCTCTGACATGAGTTTCAGTTTCAGCTGTGGATGAAACACAAACTGAGCTGGAAGAACTACTTCCCATTTTGACACATAAATGTTTTCCTTAGAAGTTAGAAGGAAAATATAGATAAAATAAGGATTGTGTATACATCTAAGCAATTTTAGTGGCTATACTAGAGAAAAGTTGTGGAAGAGTATGTCTCAGTATGCCCTTGAAGTCCCATGTGTTGTCATGGAGATACCCCATCTACTTTCCCCATTAGGAGAGAGTCTGTTACTGTTTAGCAGTGCCAAAAGACATCTCTAGGGAAAAATCACATATTTAAG